ATTCAAACAGGGGGGAGTTTTCCCAAACGTAGGGAGAACCCTGCACCTATCTTTTTGAACACTTCCACAACTTTACACCATGTATTTATGCATTTATTCCTCAAGGTCTTAGCACTACTGGTGTTTCGTTTTCAAATGCGGTTGCTCTGCTTATGTGTATACGGGCCTACGCGTGATGCCACCCGAAATGTAGAGAAAACACATAGGCAGCTATGATTCAGCCTAGTACATTTCGGGTGATGTCACGCATATACACATAAGCAGAGCAACCGCATTTGAAAACGAAACACTAGTAGTGCCAAGACTTTTAGGAATAAATGCATAAATACATGGTGTAAAGTTGGAAGTGTTCAAAAAGATAGGTGAGATGTCCATGTAGATAAATACCCGGTAAGTGTTAAAAAGCCCGATCATTTTCCGTTTTGTGAGCCATTTTGAGTGGAACCTGTCGGGACCCGGTCGTGTTACGAAATCTGTGCGAGAATGTTCTATAGCACTGCGGCAGTTACTGAACGCGGGCTACTAGAGCTAAATCTCGCCATGCTCTCTATTCTTGAACCAATAAACTCAACTTCCTTGTCCGCAACAATTTTTACTACCTCTTTGTTCTCGGCCCTCTCCTCTTCGGCCTTTGCTTTCTTTTTCGCCTTTTTCTTAGCATTTTTAGACTGTCCTGGCTTTTCGCTTGGCTTCGCTAGTGTTTTAGATGTCTGATTGTCGGGCTCCTCATCATCCTCAATTTTAAGAATGGCAAAACGAGACGAAGCGACTGACACCATGATGCAGATAGTGGTGCCATCGCGTGGCGATAAACGAAATCACTAATTGTATGAGCAAACAAACGACAAATAAAACGACTAATCGCAAACTGAAAAACATACTACAAAAAACATAATCTTGATTTTCATACAATATACATTTAGTAACGTTTGCATTTGTTATTTTATAGAACGCGACGCTTCGTAACACAGAATGAAGATGTAATTTTTAGCCGCATGGTGGCGTTGTTGGCGAAGTGTTTTGCTTACCGAGGCGATCGTCTGGGGAAAGGTTGTATCTTCCGAGGCCCTAGTCAATACAGTAATTTACACTGATCAGAGACTACACACTTCATCAAGCGTTGCATTCCACTGTAACTGTGAGTGTTATACCGCGATTAAGAAATATCAGTACTAAAAACCGTGGTAACGAGCAGTTGCATGGATTTTCATGATTTTATTCGTGATTGTCACTGACATTATTTTTCCGTTATCGTTGTCATTGTTTGATTGTGGGATTCAGTAGACAATGCATATATTTGCATTATTGGTAATTTTCTTTGTGCACCAAACTGCAGGTTACTAACACGGCGTAAAGTGTAGGCACAGATTTTCTGATCTCGTTTGTAATACTAGTGTGGTGGTACTGCTCTCGAGATCTAAATAGTAAATATATATGTTGTCATGTGTTGTCGTCTAAGAGTAAGAATCCATTAAAATGCAATATTTTTGTCTTTGTCGTCCCACACTGGAACTCTGCCGTCTTCTCCGGTTAATAGTGAAATTGCAACTTCTGGAACAGTGCAGAAATGACAAGGGGACTGCTCTATGCACTGAGTGCAGATCTGGAGATACTCGCAGTCGTTGATGCATATTATGATCGTATATATTATGTATGATTGCAACCATTCATACCATGTGATCTTGTGTAAGAAAAACCTATATGTACACTATTAGTATTAAGGCCCGTCTCTACACACGCGGCACGACACGACGCAGCGCCGTTGTGCTGAAAAAAGATACATTGTGATTTCGCGCATTGTGTCTGAGCGCATTGTGTTCACTCTGGTTCAGTGATCAGAAATTATGCATGTGCTTGAAGTCCATTGGCTGATGGTAGCGTGAGCAAAACACGTGATAAAAAGCAATCGCGTTGTCTCTGGGCTGGTAGGTCGGCCCCACTGACTTAACCACCGTTGGCTGCGT